AGTTCTTGATAACCTCTACAACCAAATTCCAGCTGCAGAGAAACCAGTGCCCAAATTCTAGGCACCAACACCTAACCTTTCACCAAGAACCAAATTCCAGTTCTTGATAACCTCTACAACCAACTTCCAGCTGCAGAGAAACTAGTACCCAAATTCCAGTGCACCACACAAGTACAAAAGAATGAAAAAGAATTGAAAAAGAAGAAACTAGAAAGCTCAAACCAGCTTTATGCTATTCTCGAGTGAGTTTCTTCTTTAAAGAAAAGCAATATGCCTCAAGAAAGATTTTTAAAGAACTTCTCAAAAACAGCTGCGAATCTTTCTTGAAAAGAGTGCTAAAGTTGCTTGATTGATTGCTCAAGGATGTGTAAAAACTGATGTTCAATGTATGTTTAAAAAGTTCAAGCAACTCTGTTTTTATAGAAGATTTTCAAAACTGCTGCATTTATTAATCTGTTAAAAGTTTGTTTTAATCTGTTAAAAGTGCAGTTTTAATCCGTTAAAACTTCTTTTAATCCATTAATACGTTCTTGAATCTTTAACAGATTTGATTTAACTGATACGACAACGTTTATATCAGCTAAAACACTTTACAGAAAATCTTCTAAGTTTATTTAATCGATTGTTTCGCGATTCAATCGATTTAAATACTGTAAAACTTTCTTGTAAAACTTTTCAAGTTATTTTAACTGATAAAAATAGGTTTTAATCGATTAAAACTCTGTACATAATTTTTCCAAGTTGTTTTAATCGGTTAAAACGTGTTTTAATCGATTGAAAAAGTTCTGATCGGTCATAACTTATTCTGATCGGTCATAATTTCATTCTGATCGATCATCCTGAACCTTTAAGTGATTTTAATCGATTGAAACATGTTTTAATCGATTGAAAAAATTCTGATCGCTCATAATTAAAATCTGATCGATCACATCTGATTCTGATCGGTCATATTTGTATTCTGATCGATCATAATGAGTTCTAAATGGATTTAATTGATTAAAATCAAGTTGTATCGATTAAAATACTGTAAAAACACTTCTTTGAACATTCTAAATGATTTTAATCGGTTCTTTCAAAACTATATCAGTTAAAAACATGTTTGAGAAAGCTTTTGTCAAAATACTTTGTTTTTAATTGTTTAAAACGATTTTAGAGGCATTTTGCAAAATCTTTTAAGTGAAGAAACCTCATGTAGCAGAAAAGATAAAATGATTTTACCTAAGCATTTTGTAGACACACTAATTTTTCTACTCTTTTATCAAAGTGACTTGTTGACCGCTGCAAAGTTGACTTTTGACTTCATCTTTGACTTCATCAAATCAATGAGATCTTTGCCAATGTATTTCAATAAGATCTTCATCACTTTCAAATTTTGTGCAGGTGGCGTCGCTCGAGCAATGTTACTTTCGCTTGAGCGAATGTTGACCTGCGTAAACGTCGATCAAAGTTAGCCGGATAATGTAACCTGGGTGCCTCATGTTTGAATCGGATGTCGCTCGAGCGAGAATAGTGTCGCTCAAGCGAAATGCAACCCGAGAATGCCAATTTTGTGCAGGTGGCGTCGCTCGAGCGATGTTATTTTCTCTTGAGCGATATTGCAAAAATCAGATATAATCATGGATTATTTTCTCATTAGCGACCGATTTTAATTTGGTCGCTATTTCAATTTGTAATTCGGTCACTAAATCAGTCGCTAAATGATTTTTTTATTTATGTATGAAATAGCCACCGATTTAGCGACTGAAAATTTGCGACGCACAAAAATTGGTCGCTATTTCAGTCGCTAAATAAAAAAATGAAAATCAAATCATATTTTGGTCGCTAAATTGGTCGCTAATTGCGACCGAATTAAAGTGGTCGTTAAATCGGTCTCTAAATACGACTAAAATTAAATCGGTCGCTAAATCGGTCGCTAATTTTGGTGGCTAAATGTGTTTTTTCTTGTAGTGATTAAGTTTAATTATAGTAGAATATTATCTACTAATAGTTGTAGGAATGAATATTCATTATCTTATTAATATTTAATCACTTGTCTTTGACGTGAGAGAGTATGATAAAAAAAATCTTTATCAATTGGGGATTATAATGAAAAATAATTTTTTATGTGAGGAATATGATCAAATCTCACGATATTGACTTATATATGATAACATAATGGTTCAAAGTGATACAAAAAATGATATTCCTTCCCACACATATAATGTCTTAATAAAATTATTTACAAAGAATAAATTTAATTGATTTATGATTTAATTTTTTTATTAATTAAAATTTATTAACTAATTATATAATCGTCCATTATAAAATTATATAATTATTTTTTTCATTAATGTAATAATAAAGTGGTGAATAATATATATATATATATATATATATATATATATATTAACAAAAGAAAATTAAGTAAAATTTAATAAAATTAAAAGCATATATTTAGTTATATTCATCAAGTGTCGTTGCTTTATTATCTATAAAGTGTTTTCCATCACTAGGGAGCCAAATCCATGAACATGTCCATAAAATGTATTAATTACACACCACATAAAACGAAAAACAAGATTATATAGACAATCATATACTGAACTCTTAGAAACTGATGAAAGAAAGAAAGAGGAGAAGGAGGATTTATTATTTTTGGACCCTCGCACTAGTACAGAATAAGCTTTTAACATCGGTTCTAGAGCCAGATGTAGATACAATCGATGTAGAAAGTGTGACTTTCCACATCGGTTGTAAGGAATCGATGTAGAAAGTCGAATATTTTTATTTATTTATATATTTTTATTTATTCATAACCCCTCTCCAATTACCCTATCTATTGATAGGTAGGTCTCTTCTCCCTTTTATATTATATTTTTATTATTTATTATATTTTTTATATTTTTTAAGATCAGATTAAGAGAATTGTCATTGCAAGATTCGAACCCAGTACCTTAGAGTCGAAGGTCGATACTCCAACCACTAAGCTACTAGGATTTTTCGATAATAACTTATACATAAATTATATTTATATACAAATAAAAATGTATATCTATGTAAATATATAAATATAAAATATATAAATACGAGATACAAATATATTTATATATTTATATGTTGGATGTGAGGGCGCTCGAGGATGAAAGTGTGTGTCGAGTGAATTTTCAAAATTTAATGTCAAATTTGTGAGCGAGTCTCTTTATATGGATTATAACTTAATGACAAAATATAATCTTTATAATTTATTTATATAATGATATAAAATAATTTTTTTTCTTTATTTTATATCATTATATAAATTAATTATAAAGATTATATTCTATATTATTATAAATAAATTATAAAGATTTTATTCTATTATTAAATTACAAATTCATATAAAGAGACTCGCTCACAAATTTAACATCAAATTTTGAAAACCCACTTGTCACACACTTTCACTCTCGAGCGCGCTCTCACATCCAACATATAAATATATTTGTATTTATATATTTTATATTTATATATTTACAAGGATATACATTTTTATTTGTATATAAATATAATTTATGTATAAGTTATTATCGAGAAAATTCTAGTAGCTTAGTGGTTGGAGTATTAGTCTTTTACTCTACAGGTATCGGGTTCGAATCTTGTCAGTGACAATTCTCTTAATTTTATAAAAGACTTTTTACATCGGTTCTTATGGAAAGGCGATGTTAAAAGTGATTTTTGTACTAGTGCTGGTAATGGACATGTCGGCAAGAAACAAAACCAATGAACATGCATGCTATATTCATATATGGGAAACACACCAAATAACCAAATTCCTATGTTGCTAAAGCAAGAGACACGCGAGTGTTAGACCCTAATCTTCCTTCCATCGCAGGCAGTGGCTTTTTCACAGTAGTCGTGCCAATGTCCTAACGCATATCATACATCCATCACCATCCATAATTTATGTTCAAAGATGTTTTCAGAATTCAATCATGATCAGTTCAACTCTTAAGTGAAAATGTTAAAGTTAAATCATTTATAAAAGAGAAATATTTATATATTGTCTTAAGAAATTTTTAATGTTAGTCTCCTTAAAAATATTTAACAAAAATGACTGTATATTTTTAAAATAATTAATAATCCTTGAGATAAGATTTAATATAAATAATACATATATAGACAATAATTGAACATATAATACACAAAATTCCCCACTTGTAAGAAATTCTTTAATTATATATTTTTTTTACAGGATGAATTCGTAGATAATTTGAATTACCCACGGATTAAATCTGTGAATAAAGTCATATGTGGATAAAAGCAAAATATTCGTGGATATTGAATTCGTACGTATATTAATATATATGAGTAATATAAATGATAAAAATTTTGTTTATTTTTCTTCATGTTTAATTTTTAAATTTTTTTTTACTTAGCATGATTGCAAACTGGGTGACATTGTTCACAGATTAATTTATATACTTGGTAATTATACTTTAAAATTGTAGCAATTTTTTATTAATACTTTATTACAATTTAATATAAATTTTCCATTTGGTTATCAAGTCATATATTATTTAATTATTTAATATCCTTAAAATTATACATTAGAAAATTTCAGTATCATAGTGTCATCAATTTAATTTTACATTAAATGGAATTAAGACATACTAAATTTAATAACATAAAATAATTATCATAAAATTAAAATTTCGATAGAACAGCTATGTATTTTATAATTTTCCAATCCGTCTTAGTTTTTTGTTATTTGATTTTCAATTCTTGGATAACTTTTTTTTTTCCCTTTTTCTTGAATTGATGGTTTATGAACATCCTAATTCCAGAAGTAATTTATGGCTCATTCAGATAAATAACTACATCAAACACTTTAAGAAGCTTTCATTTTATTCACAAGATTTGACTCGGCATTTTATTTAAACAGATTAAAAGGAATTTATTTTAACAAGCACAAAAAGAAGAAATTAACATTCAACACTTACTGAATGTTGAGACATAAAAATATAAGTTGACTTCATCGTTTGACCTTAAAGTGGTGGCAGCACCTCAGTATCCCTGAGCCGCCGCCGCCGCCACAAGCTGCAGCCGGCGTCAGCGGTAAAGAAGAACTCATGATCGGTGGTTTCATGGCACAGTGCAATAGAGGGTGTAGTAATGGGGTATGGGAGTGTAGTAGTTTGAGTGGAGAAGCTCTCAATTTCAAAAAGATCAGAACTTGCATCACTAGCCGCATCATCATCCATGGCACGTGACTTGGAGGGGCTTGGAGGTTGGAACACGTGCAAGGACTCTCGTGGAGTTGTGTCCTCTTCTTCATGAACAACGTTCAGAAGAACCTGGTGAGGATTTGTGGGTTTGGTGGAGTTTGTTGCCATGACCAAAGGGAAAGCGAATCCTCCTTCACTTGGTGGCCTTCTGGCTTGGTTCATGGCAGGTGGATGATGATGGTGGAACAAACTTTGAGATTTCAATTCCTTGTTGGATGATGATGGTGGTGCTGCTGCCTTGTGATTTAAGGAATCTTTGTAGATTTGGTTGTGTGTGAGGGTTTGAGTTTGTGAGGGTGAGGTTTTGGGTTTCGGGGAGTAGTTTTTTGTGTTTCCTTTGACTTGCACTGACTTTTTATCACTGCAAGGGCATTTTCTTCTCAAAAGCCAAATGGATTTTGACAAAGAAGTTCTGAGTTTCTTTGTGAGATTGGAAGAAGTTCTGAGTTTCTTTGTGAGATTGGAAGAAGTTTGAGGAGGGTTTATAACTGAGATTGTATTTTTTTGAGGATGGTGGAATAACAAACCAGCTTTGTTGTTTAGAGTGGACTTGGATGAGGAAGGTGGTGGAGTTGGAGTTGCAACATGGAAAGAATGAGCTTTGTAGTTGTTGATCATGTTGTTGTAGTTACCATTACCACCAACTGATGATGAAGCTGAATTCGAGAATGATGACCTTGTGGACTTTGTGATATCACCTTGTTCTGGACTGTGTTTGTGTTCTGTGTCCAAGTTGAGCAGGGGAGAAACTCTGCTGTTGCCGTTGATGGTTACTCTTTGGATGTTGTCATTGTTGGTCCCATGGTTGAAGTACTTGTGTGCACCAAAAGTGCTAAGATCTGAGGTTGGATCATGGTCAAGAGCTCTAAGTCCATTAGGCCTCATGGCATGGTGTGGTTCAGATTTTTTTGGTGGATCAGGTGTGGGATGATGAGGAGAGGAAAAAGATACATTATTGGGTGAGTTTGGATTCAGGTTGGTATGAATTGCTCTTTCCATTTTTTCCACCTTTTTTATGAGCTTTTAGTTCAATGTGTGGATGGAAACGGGGAGGAAGAAACCAAACATTGAAAGTACTGACTCTGAAACTGCTTGTGCTCATATTATATATTTATGTGATTGTGTGGGTGTGTTCTGGGACTCGGTAAATTACAATACGATTGCACGGGTACCTAAGGTGTGAACGGTTGGTTCAGAAATTTTCTAGTACGTGTAAGTAATGGTAGGGATTTGTTTGGGCATTTATTTTATTATTACTTTTAGACTTTTATTTCCACAGCAGCTTAAAATCACTTTTAGTATAATTTTAAAAATATATACAAGTCACAATCTGACCATCAATAACTATTTACCAATTAGGTAAAAATTTAAAATAATTAATATAAAATAATAATTATTAATATTATTATTATGGGTTGATTAAAACTTAAAAATCAACTCTTAAAATTTTATTTTTCTATTTGATTATTTTAAAAATTTTAAATCAATTTTAGCACCCATTTAAGAATTAATGGTATAAAATATTATATAGTGAGGTAAAACGAATAACATAAATAAAACATACTTGGTAAGTTTTTTATATTAGGCATAAATTAGATCACAATCTTACTTAAATATTATAAACATCTTTAATTATATAAAGATTTGATATTTCTTTTCTATTGATATATTAATATTATTTTAAGTATCGAATAATCTTTGTCGATGGATAATACAATATAACTCAATTAGTTTTTGAATCTCATCAACTCGGTAAGAACATTTGACACCTTATGGTAGGTGTCAATGTTTCATCTAAAAATAAGAGTGTTAGAACCTCAAATCCACTATAATAATATCGTTATGATCTATTACTGCATTATAGTATTGTTTGTTTTGGAATTCTAATTTCTCACAGTTTTATTTTTAAAAAAAGTTTTGGTGGATTAAGGAATAAAGATATTTATAGATTATCCCTAGTATCAATTCTTAAACGATATAAGACTTATGAACGTATATTACTAATTCCTCAAAAGAACACATATTTTTTGGGTAAATCACAATATCATTAAAGTGCAACTCCTCTAAATGTGGTAGGAAAGATTTAACGCCTAAAATAATATTTGTCTGAGTTTACATCAATTTGGGTAAGGAATGACCATATATGTTCCTCTAGGTTTGATTGTCCATTGTAAGATTCAATAGTTAGGGGTGTTCATATACATGCCTTGCAGGTTATGTATATTTAGTTAGACTTGTTTCCATTTATGTTTATACTTTAGTATATGCTCTTTGTTGCGTATATTTTTAAGGTGTGCTAATACCAAGAGATATTTACAAATAGGATAGGTCAATCATATAAAAGAATACTATATTATTTGTAACAAAAAACCTTAAGATATTATGATTATGAGTCTTTCTCACTTATAAATTACTTTATACTCAATGTTAGATTTCAAATCATATTTGGATTCTCAACAATTTCCCCCTCAAATATGATTCCCTTTCGTATTGGTACACCTTCTCAAACAAAAATATTTCTTAGTCACGAGTACCTCAATAATGATCTTACTTACCATTCTCATAACGAGACTCACTTAACTGAAATCCTCATGAGAAAGATCTTCGACAAAAGGATTCACAAACCATAATAATGAGACTTGAGATTTTAAATTCTTTTCTTTAATGCATGCTTCTTGGTGCTGAAATTGCATGGAGGGGACTCTTTTGCTGCAAATAGAGGTTTTGATTAGGTATTTCATCCCTTGTTTGTCTTGATGGATTTGCGGATCCTTGGGTGAATGTGCATTAGTTTGTTGATGCATTTCATGGATATGTGTTTTAAGATTATTGGAAATTATTGTTGTTGTATCCATATTGAAAACTGATGAGGTCGATTAATGCCTCGTTTGAATCATAAGAGAGTGGTCAAAGAAAATTTTTCACCTTGAATTTTTCATCTATAAAGAAAAGACTTTTATTCTTAAGTCAGTTATGATAATATTATTAGGATTCATCATTATATTTGATATATTGTCCATTTTAAAATTCTAATTCATCACAATTTTGTCTATAAAAAACATCTTATAGTGAATTACAAGATGAGAATTTAACAATATACATTTGATCTTGATTCTTGAGTAATGTAAGACTTATGAGTGTAAATTAGAATATAATTTTCCTTTTAAGAATTAAGGAATTAAAATAAATGAACCGAAAACTCTAACATCAGTTCTACGGTGAATGTGAGTGTTTCATTTCGAAGAATAAATATGAGTTTGTAAAAATAAAGAGAATTGCTTAATAAAAAGAAAAATATTATGGGATTTCATTTAAAAGTGTCCAAAATTAAATTAATTAAAAAATAAAAAAAATTATTTAAAAAGTAAAAACTAATCAAACTTAAACATTTATTAGATTTCCAGGATCTATTTTTTTTTGAATAATTTTATTTAAATTTTGGATTAAGAATAAGTAACCAAGCTATATTAAATATAATTTTACATAGCTAGAGTTAATTATTAACTAAGATAAATGAATATGTAACTTGAAGATTATTTTATAGTTTAATTTAATTTAATTTATAATATATTTATATTTATTAAAAACATGATACAATTTTTATATTGTAATTTTTAATTATAAAAATATGTGATTTATTTATAAATATAAGAGAAATTGAAATTATGAATATTAAAATAATTATATAATTTTTTTTAAAATATATTTATTTTCATTGTAAATTTTTTAATATTTTTTTAAGAAAATATTTTACAATTTATTTAATAAACTTATAATAATAAAAAAATAAACTAAATGCGAATTCTACTAGTTTCAGGTTATTAATTCCTTCAAATCAAATGAAGGAAAATGAATCTTTGAGAGAATAAGTTTTATATTTAGTGAAAGAGAATTTACATAGATTATAAAGTTAACCAATTCAATATAAATACAAACTAAATAGATTATTTTATAATTAATTTTTTTAATTTTAATTTAAAAAAAAATAACCGATTAAAAAATAACGTAAAAAAGTATTTTTATATTATATTATCACTTCCCCGTCAATGAAACAAATTCCAACTTGTAATATTTCCCAAAAATTTATCAAAGTGTGGATCAATAATGAAGGAAAAAGTTAAAAAAGAAAAAGAATTACTAGCAAAATATACACCTAGGTTATTTTAGCAAAATCATTTGTACCATATAGTATTTCACAATAACTAAAGTCCAAATTAAAAAATGATCAGATATAAATTTTTGTTTAAAGTCTTAGAATGAGTGGCACGCTTAGTAATAGTACGTTAGCAAACAGGATGCCACTATTTAAAGACCTAAAGAGTGCTTGACCACTTTTGATTATTCATATATCCAAACACCAGATGTGTGACCTTTCCTCACTTTTTTCTCTTTCATTTTTTTTTTCCAAAGCTTTTATCTTCGTGTGGCGGTCCCATAATTTCGGTGGCATTGATGTGAATATATTTCTATCAAATATGTACATATGTGAATATTATATATATATATATATATATATATAATAAGGTTTATTTTATTTATTTTTAACTTTTTTAAATTGAAGAAAAACTTGTTTGATAATTTTAGTATAAAAAATATTTTTGTAAAGATGGAGAGTTTACTAATTAAAAAAAAGTGATTAAATTATGTGAAGTTTGAATATTCACTTTTTTTTAAGTTAAAAATATTATAAATAAAAAATTCTAATTATTTAAATTTTACTTTTATAAAATTGCTATTTTTTTTTTAATTTCTAAAATCTTTGACTTCTTTGTTAAATTCTCCACAAAATTCTCATATTTTTTTAAGATAATGAGAGAAATACTTTTATTTAATTAAATGTTTTTATATAGTAAGTTTCTTTTTGTACGTTTTTTTAAATTAGGTTGCTTGTGAGCTTTTAACTTTGCGTGTGTATGGAAAATTGCTTACATGTAGTTATTTTTGGACTAAAATAAATATTGACTATTATAGGGTTTTTGAGTTTTTTTAATTTATTAATGAAGGTCTTTTATGAATTAGTTAAAATCTAGTAAAATTTGAAAATGTGAAAATCTCATTTTGAAAGATTTAAAATAAGCTAAGGAAAACTAGTAATAACTTTCTTTACTTTAAATTAGAAGATGTAAAGTGACGTGATCACTATGATTGAATTGTAATATATAACATTTGGATTATGTGACGTTGGTATGCTCAAATTATGTATAATATTATGCTGGTCGAGTAAAGAGTAAACATGTTATTATAATAAATAGAGGCAAAATTAACATTGAATTTTAAGAGACTATATATCCATTTTATTTTATATATTGAATTTTAAGAGACTATATAGCCATTTTATTTTATATATATATTTTTTAAATTAATAAAATAAAATAATATTAATATTACTTAATAATTAATATTTCAAGGGGGTCATGAAGGTCCCCTTCCCTTTGCCATTGGTGATAAACTAGTTTTGTATAATCTTGTATAAGGAAAATTAGCTCTATTATACTAAGTTTGTACTTAGATTACATTAGAAACATGTTAAAATTAAATTAGGGTATAAGAATTCATTTGATAAATTTCTCACGTGTTGCTATTTACCTAATTTTTGATTAAGCGAGAATTTATTACATCAACATTGAGATTTCCAAATTAGGGGAGCTGGTCTCAAGTTTCATTTTTTTTTTCTCAAACGAAAAATTTTCACTTAAGAGAAATAATAGTCATTCAAGCAAAATATTAGCTGGTTGAGTGAGAAAACATCTCATCCAAGAAAAAAAAAAACTCTAAAAGGAAATAAGAATTTTGAAAGGATTTTGCTCCACTAAAAATCCCTAAAAAACATGTATAATTTTAAATGTTACAAATGATAATTCCTTATCCTAATACATATAATAATGTGGCGTTATCCCATATAGTACAATATGCATGAGATGAATTTTGTATGTATAAATAAAATAGAGTTTGATTGATATTAATTATATGTATGTATGTACATTTGATGTGTTGTGGAGGTAAACATGTTTATTTCTAAGGAGAAAATAGTATATTGTAGATTATGTATTGAGTTTGAAATTATGCCTTAGATATCCTAATTTCATTTATACTAAATTCACATAAAGAAATATATCAAATAGTAAAAGTTGAAGGAAGTTTATGAAACATAGTCTATGATGTGAAAAGTATTTGTTTTGTTTTGGTGAGTCATAGATATTAATTCTATTACATGAGAGAATATGTTCTAATTATGTACCTATATTGTATATATCAACTTATGGGAGATAATATGACATATACAGATCTCTGAGTCTGTTAGATATTGTTTAGATATTATTTGATATTGTTAGATATTATTAACCACAATATCAAACAATATCTTCTGTTTATTCTATTACTTTCAGTTACTCTTTTAGTTGTATCTCTCTACTATAAATAGACTACCCTATGTGTGATTTATACACAAGGTAGATTAATCCCAAACTCTATTTCTTCTATATTCAACATGGTATCTAGAGCTTAAGGTTATTTTGAAATTTTTTTTTCGCCTTTGAACACTATTGAAGCCACCACCACCGCCGCTATCGCTATCGGTTATTTGGTAGTGTGAAAGTGCATGTCTAGGAAAGTTTTGACAAGGAAAGACTTGGTATTTAAGCGTGTCCATTAGTGACCCACCTCTCTTTCCTGGGAACTTACCTGGTGTATTGATTCACGCCATTGTCACTATCGCCTCCGCCCTTTATGACTTCTTCCGCTCCTTTTAGTACTTCCAATTCTACCAGTACTGCGTCTGGTCCTTCCATCTACACTAACTATGTTAATGTGCACTTATTCATTGACAAGTTAACTGACCCTAATTATGCTACATGGTCATCAGACGTCAGATTATGGCTTAAGAGTTAGAAGTATCTTGATCATCTTGCCCCGAAAGCACCTACTCTCACTCCTGGTGAGCAAGACCATTGGGACATCATTGATGTTCAATTATGTGTGGTTCTCAAGGGTACTCTTGATCCTTCGTTAAAAAAATTTTTTCGTTCCTACAAAACATGTGCCAAAATATGGGAACATGCCAAGTTATTATACACCAATGATACTCAACGTCTCTATGATGTCTGTTCTAAATTTGTAGATGTTATTGCCTCTAAACATCAAGATTCTATGACTGATTATATGGGAAAAATTCATGCTCTTTTTCATGAGTTCAATGAGTTATTGCCTCCTTCCTGAAGTACCTGTTGGATTTGATGAAGACATATTGAGTTGATATAGTTTAGTTTGTGGGTGTGTAGATGAATAGGTTAGAAGTTTAAAACTTAATCTCTTGATAGGCCAATAGATCTTGTGATAAGCACCTTGAAATGATGCATCTCATTGAACTCATTTTTCTGCATGAAAAACTAACCTTTAAGCATTAAAAGAACAAACTAAGTTTTTCAATCTGTTGAAAAAGAGTTTTCAATCTGTTAAAATCACTTAACATAAGAAGTGTGGATTTGTAGTCGAAATATCAATTGGTTGAATCGCAGAATCAACAGGTTAAAAATGTTCTTAATGATTTTTTCAAATATTAAAGGTTTCGCATTTTCAATCTGTTGAAATGTTTTTTAATCTGTTGAAACAGAGAGACCATTTTTTCAGTCTAAGAGTTCATAGGATTTCAATCAGTTGAAATGTTTTTTAATCTGCTGAAACAGAGAGCTATCATTTTTTTCTAAGCTACTTCAATCCATTGAAAACACTGAATTAATCGATTGAATGAAGTTTTAAATAAAATCAATCGATTGAAATATCATTTTAATCGATTGAAAAGTATTCTGATCGATCATAATGTGATTCTGATCGATCATAACTAGTTCTAATCGGTCATAATGCTATTCTAATCGATCATAACTGATTCTAACCTCGTCATACTATTATTCTGATCGATCATTTGCTACTCTGAATCAGTTTTTATCAGCTTTAAACATTCTGGTTCCTTCTTTTATTCTATAAATACAGTGTTTGATCTATCTTTTGAGATATACAATTTGAGAAAACATTTGAAAGCAATCTTAGAGCTATCATATCCGTGACTTTCTCTCGTGCATTCAAAAACTTTTCATATCATAAGGTGCTTTGATCAAGATTGTTGTTCATCAAAGAGAGAAAGTTCTGAGTTAGAATTGCTTCGGACATCTATACTCGTTAAAGCTGCAGATCCAGTGTTTTTTCTTTTCATATTCTTGTATAAAGTGTGATTGTGTAGATTGGGTGTTGGATCTACACTCGGTTACGAGAATCGGATTTGGTTACTAGGAGGTTTTCAAGAGTCTATCTTGTGGGTTTGTGAGATAGTTCTTGGGGTAGATTGGTGAATATCTACTGGTTGTAATTTTCACTTGGAATTAGTGGAACTTGACAGATTTGTCAAGAACTGGATGTAGCTCTGGTAAAGAGTGAACCAGTATAAACTTTTATGTTGATTTTCTGCTTTCATCTCTTTTATTTCTTGTTCATATTCTTGCTGTAATTAAAATCAAATCTACCTATAGAAGAATTGAATAAAGACAAATCATTCTTCCCAAAGAAAGTGTGTTTTTAGAAAAATTTTTCTAAAGTTCAATTCACCCCCCCTCTTGAACTCAACCATTAATTCTTACAATTGGTACCAGAGCTAGTTCTTGTAAGTTACTCAAGAATTCGGTCCAAGAATGGCTGAGGGAAAGATGAATTTTTCGAAAGGAGCCTCCATAAACATGCCTCCTCTTTTTGCTGGTGTGAATTATTCTTTCTGGAAGGTTAGAATGAAAATCTTTATTGAATCTCTTGATAGAGGTATTTGGGAAACAATTGTTAATGAGCCTTTCAAACCAACTCATACAGTGGACGGTAAAATTGTTGAGAAAAATTGGGTTGAATTAACTGATGCAAAAAATAGGAGAGTCCAATATGATTATACTCGCTAAAAATATTATTACCTCTCGCTTTAAATCTTGATGAGTTTTTCAGGGTGTCTCAATGTGCCTCTGCCAAAGAAATGTGGGAAATTCTAGAGGTCACTCATGAGGGTACATCCGACGTGAAAAGGGCAAGAAAACATGAATTAATTAGAGACTATGAATTGTTTAAAATGCAGCAAGGAGAAACAATTGCAAATGTACGTAAAAGATTCACGCATATAGTCAATCATCTAATCGGGCTAGGAAAGACTTTTGACAAGGAAGAGTTGAACATCAAAATCTTGAAATGTTTGGACAGAACTTGGCAACCAAAGGTGACAACTATATCGTAATCAAGAGACTTAATTGAAATGACTACTCGCTTCACTATTTGGTAAGTTAAGGGAACTTGAGTTGGAAATCAATCGGTTCAAAGAACAAGAAAATGCAGAGAAGAAAAGCGTAAACATTGTTCTCAAGACGATTGAAGAAAATAGTGAGTCTCGAAGAAGATGAATCCGAGAATCGACTCGTTGGTTAAGAAGTTTGGGAAATTTCTT